TTAGTTTTAGATTCATATTAAAACCATAAAAAATGTCAACAATATTTAGTAAATTTGAGTATATAAATTTACAAAATTAGTTTTTGAACCATAAAATAAATTGCTAAAATATAGATAAATACTATTTTTGGAAATTTATATTCATTAAAAAATTGCGCAATTCAAATTATTTACAAACTATTTTTAGACCTAGTTTGATTGATATCAATTAAATTAAATCTAATATAAACAGGTTCAATACTACATAGTCAAAGCCTCTACCATATTAATACCTATAATTCACCTAATAGACATACGATTCACTCTTAGTCTAATAGACAATGACCCATACTACCATTGAAGGACATCCAACCTAATGGCCATGGCCTCCAACCTAATGGCCATGGCCTCCAACCTAAAGCCATGGCCTCCAGCCTGGTAGCCATGGTCTCCAACCTAATAGTCATGGCCTCCAACCTGATAGCCATCTTCCAACCTAATAGCAAAGGCCTACAACCTAATGGCATTGGCCTCAGACCTAACAGCCATGGCTTCCAACCTAATAGCCATGGCCTCCAACCTAATAGCCATGGCCTCCAACTTAACTTGAGAGAGGAGGGGGTGAACGAAAGGTAGCAGGGAATCAGGCGTAATCCGGGAGGAGGTGAGAGGCCCCCCCACTTTCTCAAATGCAACTTCGGATTTACATAGTGACGTGCTGCAACCCTGTAAATTGCGTGGCCGCAGGCCATGCTTGCAAACAGGACGAGCTCAAAAACACTGGTGTTTACGAGGTTCTGTTGCCGTCGATCCGCAGCCGCGGCAAGGTCTAAGGCCACGCTTGAAGACAGGAGGAGCTGAAAACACAGGTATTTACGGTGTTTTGTAGCCGTCGATCCAGAGGCGCACCACGGTTGTGCGCTGGAAAAGCGCAGAAAACCGTGTAAATACCGGCGTTTTCTGCCGGGAAGGTGCGCAAAACCCTGTAAATACCATAGCTTTGTGCAATTTTGAAGCCTCCAAAAGCCTCAAAAACCCTTTCCGACAAAATCTTTCCTGGTTTTTGATCTTTTTTCGGTCATTTTTCTAACCGAGACGCATCAAAAACCATTGTGTTGAGATCAACAATTGGCAGCTCAGGGTATTCGTTGAGTTGGGATGAGGTGTAGGTGAAGTAGAAATGGATCTTGAAGGAGTGAGTCTGGTTGATCTCAGGTGCCGGCCCACGAAGTCCAGCGAAAGCTGTCGCACCCTTTTCCAAGGTGCAGGTGTCCTCGGGAGGTGTGTCTCACCTCAAGGCGTAGCCACAAGGCTTACCATGCGCAAGCCCACCCTTAAGGTGAAATGGTTGCGGGCATGAAAACTCACATCACCTGGTTTCACGGCGTGAAATTCACACAGGTGAAAAGAGGAGAGAAGAAAAACAAACACTTCTCGAAGGGAATGCTCTGTCTGGCATACCGCTCAAGGTGTTGCTTTCACAAAAGGCATTCCAAATTCTATGGCACATCAAATCCGGCTTCTCTTCGTGTACTTCGCCAGCTAAACGACCAGTAGTCGTCATTGGTGGGGATGCCGAGAAGTTCCCGGGCCTGGCGCAGCATTGTCCTGCCAAAAGCGCCGATGCAAAGGGAACAGGGTGCCCTTTCTTGAATCTCGTGCATGGACCGACATTCCAAAAAAAGCTCGGTCTCGGTGGAATACAGTGCCGCTTCTGGTGAAGTAGAAACTCTGTCGGTCAAGCTGTTCCATGATCGTCACGATCCTCTCCTTGATGAACTGTTCTCGTTCAAATTGAACATCGTGCAAAATCCTTTGGATCTCGATGTAGCGATCCTTCATGGCATTGCGCTGCTCCTTGACAGTTTCAAAGTTTTCTTTCAACTGGTTGAAGGCCTCGATGAGCGCTTCTCGATCATTCACTGTCACCTCATGCTCTTCCATGAGAGCTTGATGCTCCTCGTGGAGGATGTGGTTGTTCACCTGCAAGTCCGTGAGCTGACGGTAGCACTCTCGGAAGCGAGCCTCAAAATGAGGAAGGTCCCACTCTGTCATAGTGGAAGCATCCGAGACATTGTTTTCCTCAGTCTGTGTGCCTGAGTCCGTCAGGTTGTCGTCCACAACGGTTTCGTTGTCATCGATGTCAGGGTCATCTTCTCTCTTCAGCAGCTGTCTCCATTGGATCGTTGTCCATAGGAGGGGTAGTAGAAACAGAAGACCAAGTAGTATTGTGCCACATAGGACCCATAGACTTGTAGTAGGTGAGGTTGAGGTTGTAGTGGAGTTATGCGTTGCTTGTGCGAGTGTTGCGGAACCCATCATGAACATGGCTTGCATTGCACGAGAAGCACGCTTCACTGCAAACATCTCTGTGTTCTTCTTTCGCGTGTGGGCATCCTTTTTCTTTGCCGCTTGAAAGCCTTCGTCGGAGGTGATCTTGGTGACATGTGTTCTCAAGCGGTCTGCAAGCAGTTGAGAACTGTCAGCCTTCGTGAGGCTGTCTGCGAACTGCATCTCCGAACTCACCCATTTCACTGAAGCTCGGCAGGCACGAAGTTTGTCCTGACAAACCAAAGTTTCTATTGCCGTGCGCTTGTCCGCGCCACAGGCTGCTTGGATCTCATCCTTTGTCAGCAGGTCGTAGAGGGCTTTTGCATCCAGCACCAACGAAGGTGGATGAGCAAGTACCGGAGTCTTCTCATCCTCAAGTGCCAGGTGTGGTTGCCACAAAATCTTCCAAAAAGTGGTGACGAAAAGAAGTGAGTCAGCACACTCTGAAGCAGCTTGGCTCTCAGCCGATAAGGAAGATCGCGCGACCCGTGGCAAACGCCATGACCTCCAGTCAATGACATTGTATTCGCCAGTTGCTCCATTGAGGATGGAGTTGTGAACCATCAAGACCAAGAATCCGCCCTGAGAGGACAGATCTTTGCGACTGGCAAAACTTGCATCCGTATAGCCCAAAAAGGTCACTTCCTTAGGATCACCATTCAGGGCGTGGTAGCGAAGACCAGCATCAGCGTTTGTCTTTGCCATCCTGAGAACTTTGTTGGCCCGGTCGATGGTGTCCACTGTAGCCCGTGTGATCTCACCGGACAACTGGGAAGTTGAACATTGCAAGAACGGTGCCGTTTGTGTCGATGGCCACTGAAGGCCACCTAACAGGCCTCTGAGCATGGAAGTTTCCTTTGTCGTCAACAAGGAGGTGCTCTGCTTCTTTCGCTCTTCAGGCAGCGAAATTGGCTTCATCTTATGCATGTAGTGCGACTGGTGGAGCAAGGTGTAGTTCTCCTTCTTTTCAATTTTACAGCCACAATACTCAAGTTCACCAGAATCCAGCCACATTCGAAAAGTGAAGAGCTTTTGAAGTTGTTCCTTGACCTCCAAGAAGCGGGGTGAATCCATGTTGCCACCTCCCACCAAATCATCCACATAAATACCAAACAAACCAACGAGGGCGCCAGATTCTTCAGTGTTGAGCTGGTTGGGCATGTCCAAATCAAAAATCATGAACATGCAGGCGTCCAAAGGGTGTTGCTTGATGCCAGGGATGCTCAAGATCCTCGAAACTGCCTCGACGTACCAGCTACGTGGTGCATCAACAAGACCATACATGCTCTTGTGCAGTTTCATGACCTTCTCCTCACCATCTTTTATACCAAGGAGCCTTTGTGCGTCTTTGGGGAGACGAACCCAGAGAACTCGTTCAGGTCCGTGAGGCTTTCCTTGCAAAAAGGCAGTGCTGATGTCCGAGGTAAAATGACGAAACTGAAGCATCTCACATATCGACAGAATCATTCCTCGGCTCAGTCTTGTCAAGGTGGGAGAATTTGTATTCAATGCACCCGAAAGAGCGTCGGGATCTTGAAATCCTCTCAAAACAAGGCGAGCTTTTGCTTTTGTTGACTTGTCAGGTTGCACTTTCCAGGTCAAAATAAAACGAGCCGTCAAAATCCGTTCACTAGGAGCATTCTTTGGATCATCAAAGGTCCAAACGTTGTTGGTGAAAAAGGACTCGAGCTCCTTCTGCTTTGCTTTTGTGATTGAAAGACGGTCGGCAAGGCTGAGGTGGCGTTCACTGACTTCATTGTCTGCCTTCTTTGCCATGGTCTTCTGACCCTGTGAAACAGCATAAAACTGTTCATGCGCAGCCTTTCGATCACAAGCATTGATCTTGAAGCGAGTCTGACCTGTCCAGACACCAGTGGAGGTGGTGCCTTTCTTCTTCCAGCGATCATGATGATGTTGTGATCCATCATACGAGTCACGATCTTTGGTCAGGTACTCCTGCTTGATGGGACAATCTTCTGTGGTCGGAGTGTATGTTCCAACTCGTGGCAGGAAGTGGTTCAAGATGAGGTGATTGCCACGAAGTTCCCACATATCGTGCACTTCTTCCATGACCACAAACCCATCTTCACAATGCCAACCACTGGGAAGTTGACATTCCTTCAAAAGATCGACGCTGATCTCCTGCGTGGTGAGTGCAGAGTCATCACTGAGAGGCTTGTTGCCGTAGGGAGTTGATCTTGACTCCGTTGAAGCTTTTGATCTGGAGGGACCAAAGGAAATGGTCTCTTGTTGACTGAAGCGCTTGGCCTTTTCAGCAAACGTTTCACCAACCTTCTCTTTATAACTTTCATCGATTTCCCCCGTGGGGTCACCTTCCTTTTTCACAAGCTTTTCAGCTTCTGGCAAAACATCCCCCGAAGGGTCACCTTCCTTTCTCTCATGCTCCAAGGGCATTGGCAAAGATGAAGAAGGTAGTTCTTCAGCTCCAATCCGTGGTACTTTAGCAGGTCCAGGTTCTTCAGGTGCTTCCGTGGGAGTGTACTCAGAGTTGTTGTCTGCTTCATCACTGGCGTCGCTATCGTGAGTGGTCAATGATCTCTTGAGACCATGAGGTTCAGGAGGTAGACCTTCTTGTGGAGCGACCTCAGTGTTGGGCATATCATCATCTTCTTCTTTCTCCTCATCAGATTGCACATCTTCCAGCTTCCTCTTGTTTGATTTAGATAGGTCGAGGTACTGAGTGACTCCACGACCGCGAATCTGCTGGAGAGCTTGTTGTGCACGATCCATTGGACCAGAGGAGTCCTTGCCATCATTCTGGTTGTTGTCGATGATGGGGCGTGTATGCTCAAATGAAGCTCGAATCAACACTGTACCATGCACCAGCCAGTACATCTTCTGCTCAGCATCAACCATCACAACAACAGCGGGGCCACGCCAAACAATCTTGGGACCCAAAGCAGCTTGTCCAGTCGGCAAGTCCCTGTAGTAGTGACAACGCTGTCCCAATACCAGTTGCTGAGTGCGACCACGGTATTGTCGAAGGAGAGCACGACGAAGTCGATCATCATTGCTTGCTTTTGCTATGGTATGTGTTGCCAGCTCTTGGAAGTGCATCTTCTGTCGGAAGGCTTCTGAGGGAGTCAGCTGTGCAGGAGCGATTTGTTCATCAATCATAGCACCTGGCAAATTCGGAGTATAGCCAACTGTCCATTGCAACGGAGAGAATCCATGAACATTTGGCATCCTGTTCACCTGAGGGATCACGTAGCACAGAGCCTGGATGATGCCGTCGTCAGTGTAGTCTTGGGTGTCGAGGAGGAAAAGTTCAACAGCTCGTCGAACCACTTGATGACGACGTTCCAGGATGCTCAATCTCTCATGAGCTTGGCCAGGGCTGATCATAAACTCCACATTGTGCTCTGATGCCCAATGTCGCATCTGGTCACTACACCAGGCACGATGTTCATCCACCTGGAGGACATTCATGGTGCCAAAGTGGCGGATCCAAGAGCGCTCCAAAGCTTGAATGAAGTCATTCGTGGTCTCGGATGCTAACAATCGGGCAGCAACCAAACGAGTCGTGCAGTCTGAGATGACCAAGATCGGAATCGGCCGGGAGGATTCATCACGTTTCAACTTCAGCCACATAGTGTCCGCCTGGACACGATCGTTGAAGAACGTGCCACGGTAAAGTCCAGTCTTCGGAATTTGTGGTGGTGGTTGTCGATGCTGACACAAAGGGCAGTCAAAGTCTTCCAAGGCCTGCGTGAGGAGGTCATTGCACTTTTGTTCTTGAAGTACTCGTCGGAGTTGAGCTTTGGGAGGATGACCAAGATTCCTGTGAAGGCGAGTGATCGTTCGAGTAGCTTCGGAGGCATTCTTGGGAATGAGTCGCTTCATAATACCTCGGTATTGTTGTTCTTGTTGTTCAGGCTCAATTTCTTCTCCAACATAGATCTCATCCATCAAGAAGTGGTGGATTGCTCGAGCCAAGTGTTGACACATGGAGGGCTGATACACTGCTGCAGCTAAAGCACGATTGCCAATCATCGGAGAGCTACCTTCCAGTGGAAGATGACATGGACAGCCAGGACAAATGGCGGTGATCAGCTCAGCCAGCTTAGGATCCGACGCGGCCAGGGTAGTCGGCTTCTTGATTGGCAGCCATTGGCCATCATGATCAGGTAGTCGAGCTCCAACAGCACATTGATCCAAATGTCCCTTGTACCACTGTTCGTCCATGCTTTTGAAGGTTCTTGTCTTCCAGCTATCAGCAGGTTTGGGCGACTCCAAGATGGCATGGTCCTTGCGCTTGAGCTGGTTGCAGTATACTTTCTTTGAAAAGCGAAGGTGCGTGTTCTCTTCAACATCACGTTCAGCTTGAAGCACTTCATGTTGCCATGGTTCTCGACATCGAAGTCGTTGAAGAGGACTCCATTTTCGACAAGGTGGTGCAAGCCAAACAAAGCGAGGTGCCATTTGTTCCTGAAGATCCAGGAAAGCTTTCTGGTGAGCACGCTGAGTGAAATCCCAACCATTGTTGATGTCGAAGGTCAGGACTGCATGGCCAAGGTTGGCAAGTTCCTTGCTGAGATTGCCACTGCCACTGTATAGTTCCCAACTTTGAAGTTGTCCCTTCTCATAGACGGCCAGAGCCTGATGAATCATATGCTTCTGTTGTGCCAGTTGATATTGTTGCTGGTTTTGGATGCTTTTCATCAACTTCAGGCCAACAGGCTTGTAGATAGCTCCGGGATCTTCATCATAGTTCATGTCTTGACCAGACACATCAATGATGTCCTCGTCATCAGCATGAAGGAACACTTCACCCGGAGAGCGACCTGTCTGTTCCAGATAGCTCTGAAAATCAACTGTGCCGTCACGAAGGTCGGGGACATTCTCAATGGTGTCGTCGGTCATGAGGTCGAAGTGCCATAGTTGGGTTGACCATTCTTGTCCATCAATGAACATGGGCATCATGTATTCTCCTTTTGAACCTCGTTGCGCGTCATGCCAAGGTCCATCATTGTAGGACAGGGTGTCCTTCTGGTAGTCAATCTTAATGCCAAAGTGGGCCAAAATTGGCCTGCCAACCAAGAAGGGTGTGCTTCCATCAACGATGAAAACTTGGATTCTTCCGGACTTGTTGTCAATGATCACCGGCAAGTGAATTGACCAAGCAGCATGTCCAGTATGGTCTCCTCCAAATTGAAACAACTTGTTGGCGGGGCGAAACTCAATGCAGACAATGTCAACACCATGAGTTTGCAAATAGGTGAGGACTGTGAGCATGGTTTGGTGTCCCACCACAACACTGCTTGCTCCCGTGTCCAGAATTCCAAAAACACCTTTGCCCTGTGACGTGACGTCCGTGTAGCCATTGACAGGCAAGGCCATCGTGGCAGCTTCACTCTTTTGTCGTTTGGGCGATGAGGTCGTCGTGGAACTCTTCGGAGATGAGGTGTTCATAGGACACTGCGCAGCCCAATGTCCCGCTTGTCCACACTTCAGGCAGGTCAAATTGTAGCCAGCGCTCTGTGTTCGTGAGGTCAAATTCCGGGAGGGACTCTTGCTCTTGCTCTTAGTCTTTCCTTTGCTCTTGCTTTTCCCTTTTCCTTTTCCTTTTGTCGAAGGTGGAAAAGGGGTTGATGGCGCTGTTGAGCTTGAAGCCATTGGAGATGATGTTGGTGGCACTGCATAGACGGGCCAAAAACCACGAGCAGCCTTCAAGTCAGAGAACCGCTTGCGGGCGTCCAAATAGGTCGCATAGGCCTTCTCAACTTCTTCATCCCACTCTTCTTCCAAGAAGGCATGTTCATCATCATCAGGTTGCTCCTGATAGAAACCGGTCTCGGTCTGCTCATCTTCCTCAGGGAAGTAGTCGAGCTCGGGATTCTCCTCCTCCAGGGTGTAGGCCTCATAGTCGAGCTCCTCATCATCATATGCATACTCTTCAGTCGTGTATGCTCGACCAACATTTCGGCTCTTCCAGGAGGAATTTGAATTTCGACCAGTCCAGCGAGTTGATGATGAAGTTTTGAAGTCCTGTCCAAACAGGAAGTACAGTGCGCTCTCCACCTTGGCGATCTCGGTATCGCTTCCAACTTGCGACATCACAAGGTGGCGTTGTTCCAAGGTCAAGCCAGCTCTTCTCAGGAGAAGCCAGCCGCTGATGGCATCTGGCACTTTGATGCCGTGACGTTCGATTTCTCTTTGTCGCTCCTTGTGCTCTGCCACATAGGTCAAAAGCGTCTGGTCAGGGCGTCTGCCCATGGTGAAGAAAAACAACTCCATGCTTCTGGGAGCTTCGACCCTCGAGTCATACTTGAAGCACTTGTCGAGGAGGGCCAAGACCCGAGGAAATCCATCTTCACTTTCTGCTAGCTTCTCAGCGTCAGGTTCGACTTGGCGCCAAGAAACTCCTGTCAAACTCGTCAAAAGGTTGATCGTGGCCTCCTTGGCTTTGTTCTGGATGCTCATTTTCTTTCCATACAGCAAAATTCGTGCACGCCATTCTTTGTAGTTGCGGATGTTGTTGTCAAACAAGGGGATGAAATTGTCCCTTGTCACTTCAAGGCCTCCTCCGGTCGAAGAGGCTTGTGATCCAGCCATCGTGATGGGGTGAATCAAAACAAAGGCGAAGAAGCGCAGGTTGAGGTGCCCTGGATGATGCTTATCGCGTGCAGCTCCTGGAGCCCGGCAGCGAACCGGGCTCCGCTACCAATGTTGAGATCAACAATTGGCAGCTCAGGGTATTCGTTGAGTTGGGATGAGGTGTAGGTGGAAATGGATCTTGAAGGAGTGAGTCTGGTTGATCTCAGGTGCCGGCCCACGAAGTCCAGCGAAAGCAAGCTGTCGCACCCTTTTCCAAGGTGCAGGTGTCCTCGGGAGGTGTGTCTCACCTCAAGGCGTAGCCACAAGGCTTACCATGCGCAAGCCCACCCTTAAGGTGAAATGGTTGCGGGCATGAAAACTCACATCACCTGGTTTCACGGCGTGAAATTCACACATTGGTTTTTGCGGTGTTTTTTGCCGGACAGCCACAAAAAACGCTGTAAATTCTATGATTTTTGGTCACTGTTGAGGACTGGAAGAGCTGAAAACACAAGTATTTACAGTGTTTTCGAACCGTTGACCCCGAGGCGCGCCAGGGTGGAGTTGAAAGGGGGGCCCCCCTGGCCAGCAAACGAAGATGTCGGGGACCATTTCTCAGTGAGATAGGCTCCAGCTCTGGGTCTAATACATTTTTGCTAAAGCAAAAGGAAAACTCAGGTAGCGTAACCGCTACCTTTCGTGATATCATGGCCTCCAGCCTGATAGCCATGGCCTCCAACTTCATAGTCATGGCCTCCAACCTGATAGCCATGGCCTCCAACCTAATAGCCACGACCTCCAACCTAATAGCCATGGCCTCCAACCTAATAGCAAAGGCCTAGAACCTAGTAGCCATGGCCTCCAACCTAATAGGCATGGCCTTCAACCTAATAGCCATGGCCTCCAACCTAATAGGCATAGCCTCCAGCCTGATCACCATGGTCTCCAACCTAATACTCATGGTCTCCAACCTCATAGCCATGGCCTCCAACCTAATAGCAAAAGCCTACAACCTAATAGACATGGCCTCCAACCTAATAGCCATGGCCTCCAAGCTAGTAGCTATAGCCTCCAACCTAGTAGCCATGACCTCCAGCCTGATAGTCATGGCCTCCAACCTGATAGCCATGGCCTCCAACCTAATAGCAATGGCAATGGCCTCAACCTATAAGCAACAGCCTCTAACCTACAAGCAATGGCCTCCAACCTAATAGCAATGGCCTCCAACGTAATAGCAATGGCCTCCAACCTACAAGCAAAGGTATCCAACCTACAAGAAGAGGATGCCATTGCTATTAGGTTGGTGGCATTTGCTTGTAGGTTGGAGGCCTTTGTTTGTAGGTTGGATGCCTTTGTTATTGTAGGTTGGAGGCCTTTGCTTGTAGGTTGGGGGCCTTTGCTTGTAGGTTGGAGGCCATTGCTATTTGGATGGCTTTTGCTTGTAGGTTGGAGGCCTTTGCTTGTAGGTTGGAGGCCTTTGCTTGTCGGTTTGAGGCCTTTGCTTGTCGGTTTGAAGCCTTTGCTTGTAGGTTGGTGGCCTTTGCCTGTAGGTTGGGGGCCTTTGCTTGTAGGTTGGAGGCCTTTGCTTGTAGGTTGGATGCCTTTGCTTGTGGGTTGGAGGCCATTGCTTGTAGGTTGGAAGCCTTTGCCTGCAGGTTGGAGGCCGATGCTATTAGGTTGGAGGCCTTTGCTTGTATGTTGGAGGCCTTTGCTTGTAGGTTGGAGGCCATTGCTATTATGGTGGAGGCCTTTGTTTGTAGGTTGGAGGCCATTGCTTGTAGGTTGGTGGCCTTTGCTAGTAGGTCGGAGGCCATTGCTTGCAGGTTGGAGACGTTTGGAGGCCATTGCTATTAGCTTTGAGGCCTTTGCTTGTAGGTTGAAGGCCTTTGCTATTTGTTGGGTTGGAGGCCTTTGCTACTAGGGAAGCCTTTGCTATTACGTTGGGGGCCTTTGCTTGTAGGTTGGAGGCCTTTGCTATTAGGTGTGAGGCCTTTGCTTGTAGGTTGGAGGCCACTGCCATTAGGTTGGAGGCCTTTTGCTTGCAGGGAGGCCATTGCTAGTAAGTTGGAGGCCTTTGCTTGTAGGTTGTAGGTTGGAGGCCTTTGCTTGTCGGTTGGAGGCCTTTGCTGTTAGGTTGGAGGCCTTTGCTATTAGGTTGGAGGCCTTTGCTTGTAGGTTGGAGGCCTTTGCTATTAGGT